GAGCACTTCCATAGACACACACAGAGCGCCACCGTGCGGCCAGTCTGATATTACACAGACAGGAGGACTTCCATAGACACACACACACAGCGCCACCGTGCGGCGGGCCTGATATTACACAGACAGGAGGACTTCCATAGACACACACAGAGCGCCACCGTGCGGCCAGCCTGATATTACACAGACAGGAGGACTTCCATAGACACACACACAGAGCGCCACCGTGCGGCCAGCCTGATATTACAGAGACAGGAGGACTTCCATAGACACACACAGAGCGCCACCGCGCGGCCGGACTGATATTACACAGACAGGAGGACTTCCATAGACACACACACAGAGCGCCACCGTGCGGCCGGTCTGATATTACACAGACAGGAGGACTTCCATAGACACACACACAGAGCGCCACCGTGCGGCCTGTCTGATATTACAGAGACAGGAGGATTTCCATAGACACACACAGACAGAGCGCCACCATGCGGCCGCTCTGATATTACACAGACAGGAGGACTTCCATAGACACACACAGAGCGCCACCGTGCGGTCTGTCTGATATTACAGAGACAGGAGGACTTCCATATACACACACACAGAGCGCCACCGTGCGGCCGGCCTGATATTACACAGACAGGAGGACTTCCAAAGACACACACAGAGCGCCACCGTGCGGCAGTCTGATATTACACAGACAGGAGGACTTCCATAGACACACACACACAGAGCGCCACCGTGCGGCCGGCCTGATCTTACATAAACAGGAGGACTTCCATAGACACACACACAGAGCGCCACCGTGCGGCCGGCCTGATATTACACAGACAGGAGGACTTCCATAGACACACACAGGGCGCCACCGGGCGGCCTGTCTGATATTACAGAGACAGGAGGACTTCCATAGACACACACAGACAGAGCGCCACCTTGTGGTCGGCCTGATATTACACCGACAGGAGGACTTACATAGACACACAGAGCGCCACTGTGCGGCCGGCCTGATATTACAGAGACCGGAGGACTTCCATAGACACACACACTGAGCGCCACCGTGCGGCCAGCCTGATATTACACAGACAGGAGGACTTCCATAGACACACACACACAGAGCGCCACCGTGCGGCCTGTCTGATATTACAGAGACAGGAGGACTTCCATAGACACACACAGAGCGCCACCGTGCGGCCAGTCTGATATTACACAGACAGGAGGACTTCCATAGACACACACACACAGCGCCACCGTGCGGCGGGCCTGATATTACACAGACAGGAGGACTTCCATAGACACACACACACAGAGCGCCACCGTGCGGCCTGTCTGAAATTACAGGAACTGGAGTACTTTTATATTCACACACAGAGCGCCACCTGGCAGCCTCTCCGATATTACAGGAGCAGGAGGACTTCCAGACACACACAGGGCGCCAACCTTTTGGCCGTCAGATATTACAGGAGCAGGAAGACTTCCGGACGCACACAGGGCGCCACTGTGTGGCCTCTCCAATATTACAGGAGTAGGAGGACTTCCAAACACACAGGGCGCCACCGTGCGGCCTCTCTGATATGACAGGAGCAGGAGGACTTCTAGATACACACAGGGCACAACTGCAGTAACCTTCACAGGGGTGGTGGTGGGGGGGGGGGAGGGGTGTATGTTAAATCTACATAAGGGACTAAAGAGGTAGCCTAATTTATTTGCTTTTCAGAATAATCAACTTATTCTAATACAAAATTAGTTCAATGTGAAATCACTGTTTTGTAGGTATACGCCACATGAAAACTTGCATGCATTTAATTATAATTATTATTTTTTTATTGGGATATTACAGAGCCCCCAGTAATGTGCAATTTGTACTGGGATATTACAGAGCCCCCAATAATTTTTAAGACAGAATATGTCAGGGTGTGATATACAAGGAACAGTGGTTACATGCTGCAGTGGTTATAGTGCCAGGAGTTCCATTGTACCCCCTATTGGAAGTATTTAAACCATTTTAGAATGGCTTAACGTGTTACCTGGCATCTGCTCCTGTTTCTAATACCTGAACCTGAATCTCTCTGTCTGAGCCAGTCCTGCCCCGCATGGCATGGCAGTAGAGCGGACAGAATCTTTTAAGAAAGAGCTTCCGGCTCGCAGATGAGGTAGAGGAGTGGGGAGCAGCACCCAGCGGACCCCAGGTAGGTAGACAAACCATTCTACTGACAATGGTGTGAACCAGGGAACTCCTAGCACCATTACCACTATAGTGCTTTGTAGTGGTGATGGTGCTTGGAGTGTTCCTTTAATATACTCATGTAATTAGGCCTACACAAACTTTCAGCTACAGGCCCCTCAGGTCCTTAAACCGCCCCTGATTCTCACAGCACAGGGTGTTACTATAGTAACTACACATAGGTGGTTACTATAGTAACGAAGAGCTAAAAGCAAACATAGACACATTACAATGGCGTAATTTCCAAAGATTGCAGGAAATGGGAAACGTATAAATCCTGGACTGTCTGTGTCACGAGGGCTGGATTGGGAAGCACTGGTCTAAGGTGGGGAAGAGGAAGTAGGTAGATGATTTTTGGGAATCATCATTGACCGGCAAGTCACTTGCCTTCCACATGGAGTCCAGTTGATTTTATGGGTAATTAACTCTTTCCTCCACTGAGCTGAACACTGGACCAGTTGTCTGATTGACAGCAAGCGAGTGTAACAAGATCAATTTATAAATGTGTCGATTTCTGTTGTAATCTGCACTTTTTGTAAAATGAAAAAAAAAAAAAAAAAAGAGGACAAACTCTTCACATATAAAGCATTTCAGGAAGCTAAATCGCTTCAGGGATCTGCAGTGTCCCTTTAAGACACTAAAGTCAAATGGTCATGAATACAGAATGTTATTTGCACTGCTGCATTGCCATCATTCACCACTAGATGGCGTCCTCACACCCAACATTTGCTGGGATCACTTGCATAATCCTTTGGCTGCATGCATTAGGAACAGCATTCAGTACAATTTTGCATTCCTTGGTATCTGGGGAATTTCCTGGAGCTTGGCCACCATCCTGGACTCACAGCTCCTCCTGTAGTGAGACCAATAAGAAGCAGTGCTAGCATTAGTTTGATTGTTTGGGTTAGTGACAAGCGTTGCTGGGCGGGGATTTGTGGGCTGAAGCTCCAGGTGTGAGAATCTTAAGCCCCGGATCTCTACAGGTAGAGGAAGGGGCAGGAGGCTATTAGTGTGTTCTGTTAATTATTTGTTGCTGTTATTTTGTTATTTATTTATTTTCATTTTACTCAGATATCAGCCACCTGGTATACAAAGAAAGATCACATGTGGGACAGCATTGAGTACCTGGTTGTGCAACATGTGCTTTTTCCACCAAAACTTTCACTGAGATTCTGGAGAGCCCCGGCAGCTGTACAGGTAGACAGGAGGAGACATAACATAGAGAGACGAGGATAGGTCATGAGATACGCTCATATCTGCGTTGTCTTGGGCTCGAGCCTTAAGCAATTTTTGAACCTCACATTACCCCTGCTTCATATAGATCAGAAATCACAACCAATAAAAACATACTCTGTAAGATGCATAAATAGGAAATCACCCATAATGTATTGCCAATAAAGAGCCGTCATGTCTACAGTGTACAGCTTCGCACCTTACCAGAATTTCGCCCGGGGGTCTGAGCATATCCTGGCATTTTTTACAATTCTTTTTTTCAGATTAACTACATTTTTTGCCGTGTACAAGTTTACTAAACACTGATCTCTAGGTGAGGATTTAGGAACCTAACATTTCTTGTCTGGTTGGTTGACTCTCTAGGAATGGTTTCCAACCCAGTCTTCATGGCACACTTATAGTCCAGCAGTTATTTCCCTGTTCTGCTCGTTTGGAGATACTGACAAAACGTGGACCGTCGGTGTACATCAATGACTGGGATTTGACCTACAGCTATAGAGTTTACGTGGCTACATCTTAGAACTGAACACTCAATGAATCCACTTTTTCCATTGCATCTCTGACTTATCCCATGGTTTCCTGAAACGGTTCTCCCCTGACTCAGCTCGAAGGTTAAAAGTACTCAGAATGTTCTAGTGGAGACTACTATTTAAAGCCTCGTTATCAGAGTGCTATGTAAAGTGTGAGTGTCAGAGATATACAGCCATCCACAGTAGATGGCGAATACATCTCTGCAGATGGAAATGTATCTCAACTCAGCAGTAAAAACAGTTGATTCTCTTTAAAATACTTTAAAGCTTTAGAAGAGCTCAGATAAACACATTGAGGCAATAATTATGCTGTGGTTCGAAGAAAACAGAGTCATTATAAAGCCACAAAAGGATGGAGGATATAAAATGATGCATTGAGTACAGCATGTTTGGGGTAGGGGGGACTTACAGGTACTTTAGACTGTAAACTCTATCACTCTCAGCCAGGCAACATTCCTCAACCCTAAGTAACTGTTAAACCCTAAGAAACCCCACACTGAAGCCCGCACACTGGGGGGAAACCATCGGGTGGGCCATACACATAGGGCCATACGATGGGTATTTCTAAATAGGGGCCCAGCCGGACATCTCATCCCATAGTGCGCCTGGACCCCTGTAGTATCAGCGATGCTGAGAGGAAGTGAGAGCCTGTCAGGGGAGGCAGACAGGAGGCACAGGCAGAAAGATGGAGAGCAAGGAGAGCGCCTGCTCCAGATGCACACTCCAGCAACTCCAGGCAGCAACAGGCTCCAGGGAAGCCACCCTCCTGCACACATAAGGTGGGTAAAAATATTAAAATTATGACATGTATGTTTTCTATATTTGTCAGTGTGTGTATCTATGTGTCGGTGTGTAAATCTTTGTGTATCTATACGTGTGTCAGTGTGTATCGATGTGTCGGTGTGTAAATCTGTTTATGTGTATCTATGCGTGTGTCAGTGTGTGAATCTATGTGTCGGTGTGTAAATCTTTGTATGTGTATCTAAGCGTGTGTCGTGTGAATCTATGTGTCGGTGTGTAAATCTTTGTATGAGTAACTATGCGTGTGTCGTGTGTATCTATGTGTCGGTGTGTAAATCTTTGTGTATCTATGTATGTGTCAGTGTGTATCTATGTGTCGGTGTGTAAATCTTTGTGTATCTATGTATGTGTCAGTGTGTATCTATGTGTCGGTGTGTAAATCTTTGTATGTGTATCTATGGGTGTGTCAGTGTGTGAATCTATATGTCGGTGTGTAAATCTGTGTATGTGTATCTATGGGTTTGTCGGTATGTGAATCTATGTGTCGGTGTGTAAATCTGTGTATGTGTATCTATGAGTGTGTCAGTCTGAGAATCTGTGTCGGTGTGTAAATCTTTGTATGTGTATCTATGCGTGTGTCAGTGTGTATATATGTGTCTGTGTGTAAATCTTGGTGTATCTATGCATGTGTCAGTGTGTATCTATGTCTCGATGTATAAATCTGTGTATGTGTGTCTATGCGTGTCTCAGTGTGTATGTGTCGGTGTATAAATCTGTGTATATGTGTCTGTGCGTCTGTCAGTTTTTGTATGTGTCAGTTAGTGTATATGCGTAAGTATGTCTATCTATGTGTGTATCTATGTGTTTATGTATCATTTAGTGTATATGTGTGCATGTGTTATGTGTACATGTTTTTCTGAGTGTGTGTGTATGTGTTAGTTTGTATCTGAGTGTATGTATGTGTCAGTGTGTGTGTCAATCTGTATGTGTTTCTGTGTAAGCATGTATGTATGTAGCAGTGTATGTGCATACATCCCAGCAGACAAACTCCAACACTACATGCAAACACACCTTTGCAATTAAATGCAAACATTACATACAAGCACACCCCTACAAATGCCAAAGTTATATACAAACACCCCTACTACACATAAATGTACATCCATATTTAAAAGCCAACACTCAGGGCCGGCGCGTCTATAAGGCGGCACAGGCAGTCGCCTTAGGGCGTACCGGCTCTGGGGGCGCAAGATTTCAGTGACCGGCAGGAGGGAAGCTCTCCCTCCTGCCAGGCCACCTCCTGGACACACCAGAGGTGGCGAGGGAGCTCTAATCTCCACGCTCAGCTCCCTCGCGCGCCATTTGCTGATGCCGCGGGAGCCGTAATATGACATTATATTCCGGCTCCCGGCATCAGTACATAGCCCGCGAGGGAGCTGAGCGTGGAGATTAGAGGTTCCTCGCCGCCTCTGATTATACCACTGCCTCACGCCGCCCAGCAGCCCCACTGGACCCCAGGGAATGATCCATCATCCACACCAGCTCTCCAGGTAGGGAGGCTGGGTGGAAAATGCTTATTTATAAAAATAATAATTAGTGAATGTATGTGATGTGTGTCTGTGAGTGACTGAGTGTGTGTGTCTCTGAGTGTGTATGTGTGTGTGAGTGTCTGAGAGTGACTGAGTGTGTGTGTCTCTGAGTATGTGTGTGTGAGTGACTGTATGAGTGTGTGCGCATGTGAGTGTATGAGTGTGTCTGTCAGTGTCTGATGAGTGTGTTTGTCAGTGTATGAGTGTGTGTTTGTGAGTGTCTGTCAAATCAGTGAGAGTATGTTTATCATTGAGTCTGTGTGTGACTATCAGTGTGTCTGTCAATGAGTGTCAATCAGTGTGTGTCTGTCAGTGTGTGTGTCAATGAATGAGTGTGTATCAGATCAATGAGTCTGTGTCTTTCAGTGATGTCTGTGTGTTTGTCATTGAGTGTGTGACTGTCAGTGTGTATACACCACTGAGTGTAGCGTGGCGGAGCGGAGCGCGGTACAGGAGCTTCTGTTTCTTGCAGGGCCGCCATCAGAAATTATGGGGTCCCTAACACAGCTCAAGGTTTGGGCCCCCAGGTGCTTGCCTCCAAATACCGCCCACAGGAATACACACACACAGACACAAAAGGACACAGACACACACACAGAAAGATACACACATACTAACAGACACAAATACTGAAACAGACATACACACATACAGGCATACTGACACACACATACTGAAACAGACACACACAGACATATACAGACACATACACATGCATAAGCAGATACAGATACACATACTGACGTACATACTCACTTACTGACACACACACATACATACAGACATACATACAAACTGACATACAGACATACATACATATAAATACATACTGACATACATACATGCATAATGGCATACATTATGATATACACACACACATGCATACAGATAGATATATACATACACAGATACATACAGACATACATGCATACTGACATACACAGTGATAGATATATACATACATACACACATACATACTGACATATACATACTGACATATATACATACTGACACACACACATACAGATAGACACATACTGACATACACACACACACATACATACTGATATATATATACACACAGACAAACATGCATACTGACATACATACATACATACTGATAGATATATACATACATACATAATGACATACACACACACAGACACACAGACACACACACACAGAGACATACATACTGAGAAACAGACATACATACATGCCTTTTCGTTGCAGGAGGGTGGCTGGGGATGATGGGAGTGGATGCTTCTTCTCTCCTCTCCTCGGCTGTCTTTCCCCCCCCGCGCGGAGTAAGCTGGGAGGAAGTGACGAGCGTCACTTCCTCCCAGCAGCACTTGCGGGCCCCTGAAGATATAGGGCTCATCGGGTGGCCCTAAATGCTTGGGCCACCTGATGGGCCCTGGTGTAGATACACCTGCGGCAGTTTCGCCGCTCCACGTGGGGCCCAGGCAGCCAGGCCCCCCACGGCCGCCGGGCCCGTGACAACCGTCATGGTTGTCACCCCCTGATGGCGGCCTTGGTTTCCTGTACCCAGCCAGACTGACAGGAGGTGCTCACTGAGAAAGCACTCCCTGTCAGTCCGGCCGGGTACAGAAAACTGAAGCTTCTGTAGGGGATCTGCTCCGCTCAGCAATACTACAAGAGAGGTAGGAGACACACCAGGAAGGGGAGTGTGACCACTAAAGGGGTGGGGGGTGGCTGCACCAAGGGACAGGGAGGGAATGGGAGAGAAACACCAAGGGACAGGGAAAAGATGGGGGAGGGGAGAAGAAATCTAAGGGACAGGGAAGGGAGGGGACCACTAATGGACGGGGAGGGGAGAGGGGCTGGTGAAGAGGCACATAGGTGAAGATGTTTTTTTTGGGAGGGGGGGGGGAATGCATCTTCGCCTATGTACCCAGAAATCCTTGCAACGGCCCTGCCAACACTACATACAAACAAAACCATACAATTAAATGTAAACTTTACATACAAATACAGCACTGTATTCCAATGGAAACAGTACATACAAGTACACCCAAACATGCACACACATACTCCATACAAAAACATGCTTACATTTAATTGCACAAGCACTGCTCACAAATACCAAATTATATTGAGGGAGTTTCTGACAGATGGGGATTTACCTTTTGGCCACACTTGCGCTTAAGGGGGCCCAAAAATTTTTCTTTCACCTGGGTCCTCTTCTGCCACTGATATGTACATAGAAATAAATACTGGTTTTCCGGTCATCTTCTAGCTCAACATTCTTCTAGGCTGCAAAATTATGTCTCATAGAGTTTTCCCATTCAACTAAAACAAATGAATGAAAACTTACAATGATAGTGAACAGAAGTTGGGGATATTGTAACCATTTACAAGTCAATGAGATTTTGATTGTCTCCCTCCAAGTCAACAGCACCACCGCCACCTCTTCCTCACAGGCTCGCTGCTTAGGTGTTCTCTTTCACTCCAACCTCTCCTTCACCCCTCATGTCCAGTCGATCGCCAAATCCTACCGCTTCCAGATCAAAAACATAGCTTACATCCGTCCCTATTTAACACCGGACGCGGCTCAGGTGCTGGTTCATGCTGTTTTTCTCTCTCGCCTTGACTACTGCAATCCCCTTCTCAGTGGTCTTACGTGCTCTCAGATTGCACCTCTGCTATCTATAATGAATGCAGCGGCAAGGCTCATTTTCCTGTCCGCCCACACCTCCCATGCCTCCCCCCTCTGTCAGTCCCTATATTGGCTTCCAGTTAGATATAGGGCTCAGTTTAAGATTGTGGTGCTTGCTTACAAGAGCCTACATAAGGCTGCTGCAACCTATCTATCCTCCCTAATACTTAAGTATGCCCCGTCGAGGCCCCTGCGCTCTGCCGAAGACCTACGTCTATCCTCTGTCCGTACGCCTACATCTGATGCTCCCCTTCAAGACTTCTCCAGTGCTGCACCTTTTCTGTGGAACTCCCTTTCTTTCTCCATTAGACTTTCACCCAGTCTCCACTCCTTTAAAAAATCTTTGAAAACACACTTCTTCAGGAAAGCATATCAATTAAACTATTAGCAGGGTTTCAACCAACCCCCTCCCCCCCATGACTCCTCTCCTACAACTGTCAAAAATAACCTACTAAGCGCTCAGTAAATACTTTTCTACCAACCTGTTTCATTACCCCTACTTATACCCTTTGTGTCACTATACCCCACTCCCTCTAGGATGTAAGCTAACTGAGCAGGGCCCTCAACCCCTCCGTTACTGTGTCACTATACCCCACTCCCTCTAACATGTAAGCTCACTGAGCAGGGCCTCAATCCCTCTGTTACTGTGTCACTATACCCCACTCCCTCTAACATGTAAACTCACTGAGCAGGGCCCTCAATCCCTCTGTTACTGTGTCACTATACCCCACTCCCTCTAACATGTAAACTCACTGAGTGGGGTCCTCAATCCCTCTGTTACTGTGTCACTATACCCCACTCCCTCTAACATGTAAACTCACTGAGCAGGGCCCTCAATCCCTCTGTTACTGTGTCACTATACCCCACTCCCTCTAACATGTAAACTCACTGAGCAGGGCCCTCAATCCCACTGTTACTGTGTCACTATACCCCACTCCCTCTAACATGTAAACTCACTGAGCAGGCCCCTCAATCCCTCTGTTACTGTGTCACTATACCCCACTCCCTCTAACATCTAAACTCACGGAGCAGGGCCCCCAATCCTCTGTTACTGTGTCACTATACCCCACTCCCTCTAACATGTAAACTCACTGAGCAGGGCCCTCAATCCCTCTGTTACTGTGTCACTATACCACACTCCCTCTAACATGTAAGCTCACTGCGCATGCCCTCAATCCCTCTGTTACTGTGTCACTATACCCCGCTCCCTCTAACATGTAAACTCACTGAGCAGGCCCTCAATCCCTCTGTTACTGTCACTATACCCCGCTCCCTCTAACATGTAAACTCACTGAGCAGGACCTCAATCCCTCTGTTACAGTCACTATACCCCACTCCCTCTAACATGTAAACTCACTGAGCAGGCCCTCAATGCCTCTGTTACTGTGTCACTATACCCCACTCCCTCTAATATGTAAGCTCACTGAGCAGGCCCTCAATCCCTCTGTTACTGTGTCACTATACCCCACTCCCTCTAACATGTAAACTCACTGAGCAGGGCCCTCAATCCCTCTGTTACTGTGTGACTATACCCTTCACCCTCTAGCATGTAAACTCACTGAGCAGGCCCTCAATCCCCTTGTGTCACTATACCCTACTCCCTCTAACATGTAAACTCACTGAGCAGGGCCCTCAATCCCTCTGTTACTGTGTCACTATACCCCACTCCCTCTAACATGTAAACTCACTGAGCAGGCCCCTCAATCCCTCTGTTACTGTGTCACTATACCCCACTCCCTCTAACATGTAAGCTCACTGAGCAGGCCCTCAATCCCTATGTTACTGTGTCACTATATCCCACTCCCGCTAACATGTAAACTCACTGAGCAGGCCCTCAATCCCTCTGTTACTGTGTCACTATACCCCACTCCCTCTAGCATGTAAACTAACTGAGCAGTGCCCTCAATCCCTCTGTTACTGTGTCACTATACCCCACTCCCTCTAACATGTAAACTCACTGAGCAGGCCCTCAATCCCTCTGTTACTGTGTCACTATACCCTACTCCCGCTAACATGTAAACTCACTGAGCAGGGCCCTCAATCCCTCTGTTACTGTGTCACTATACCCCAATAAGAATTTAAAGTCGATTTCAAACGTAAGGTGATCTAACTCAGCAATGTTCTCAGGTTTTCTACTTTTGCCTTAACATTAAAATTCACGTTGAATTCTCACTTTGGTGAATAACCCCGTCATTGTACATGCTGTTATTCCTAAATAGGGCAAACTGAAAGATTTGGCTGGAGGTTCTAAATTACATTTTTTTCCCAACAAAATATTTCATTTTATAGTTTTGAATGTGGTCATATGTTTTTTTATTTTTTTTTTTTTTATTGAATGCATTGTATTAATATTTTTAGAACCTGTGAGAGTTTTTCTGGCTTAATGTTCAAAGTGTCAATCAAATTTCTCCCGTGATCACACAGAGCTGTTTGTACTGGCTGGTTGGCTGGTCCTGTATAACTAGGTATAATGGTATTAGTTCTCCTCTCAATCACCTAGTTTAAAAGGATCCATTTTTTAGCCTTCCCATTCATTTTGCTATGTGATCTATTTCGCCCCCCACACTAAGTAGTGTGTCTTATTTGGCTGTTAGGCAGCCCTATGCATAAAGCATTTAAGATGAGGTGATCAACAGATGTCAGGATATTGTACATTTACTGCTCTTAATCAGTATTAGATCAGGTGGCTAATTGTTTCAAGGGAAACTGGATTTGGAGTTTGAATATCTTTTATGGGGCTTTGATGTTATTTTTTTAATACTAGATTGTAAGATCAATCTCACTTTGTTTATTTAACTCCACAGGGGTCTATTGCAAAAAAATAAAAGCACCCAGGACAAAGCCATGCACTGAAACCTCTACTACTCCTAGAGAAGGGAATGGAAAAAAAATATTTCAAAAAACATAAACAGTGTAATTATTTTTGTATTGGGCTGAACAATTCTTGATAGAACCCCTCACAATCTGGAAATCTTCTCCTTTCTGGATTTGGTGTGAGTTCTGAGATAGCCGATCCTTACCTTCATACACACCAGCTGCTCACCATGTCTATGTCTTCTCCTGGCCAATTCTTCTCAGTGAATGAGCAGCTAAGCTGGGGGAGAACTGTTTTTGGTTTCTTTCCTTTAGGAAATAGATAATATTTACACTTATAGCAACAGAAAGCAAAATGGAATTGCTTTTAATGGAGTTAAATTGTAATCACTAGACAATAAAGATAAACCTATGGTTTTAAGATTGCACAGCTATTTACATTTTTTATTAGTACATATAAAAATAAACCATTCTAATTATGAAGGTTCAAGGTTCGTATAAACATGTAATGATTTGTCAAAAACGTTTTTCAATCTCACCATGTTATGGAGACAGCATGACGTATTAGAAGATGTCAAAGGGATGGAAGAATATACTTTCATTAATTATAAAAAAAAAAAAAATAACACCATTCTAATGCTTTAAAATAACTAAGCTGATTATGGGTCCATGACTTGGGGTGACTGGACCGATATCTTCACTAATGCGATACATATCACTCAATATACACTGAGAATTATTACAAAGTGCTTGTGCTCTTGAACATTCAGGCCTGGGGGTCCTGCCCCAAGCTTAAGCCTTTGTGGGAATCAATGCATGCTAAGTTTTACTGTTGCTTTAATGTGACACTTAACATGGACCCATGGGTGGCAACGCGAAACGGGAAGTGCGGGTATTTAATGCTCTCCCGTGCAGCACACAAGCCTATATACGGGGCATGCACAACTCTGAGGCTCACCCTCGATAAAACCTGGAGGGCAGCTCCACCTTTTGAGGCCCAGGTTGATGCTAAGTATTGGTACTTGATAAGAATGGGAAAATTTACAGCAGCTATCATTGAACCTACTGGTCATATTCTGAAAATCTGGAACCCCTGGATGGACTGCTCCTCAGGGCCTTGCTTGCCTGGCATTGGATCTTGTCTGATACCTCCCCTCTTTAATCTAGGCTCTCTTTTCCTCTCTTCTCTTTTCACCACCAGGCTTACCATATGCAGCAAACATTTTCTTGTTCTTTGGTAGCATGAGGGGGCCCCTTTTATAAGTGCAGAGCGTGCTGGGAGGAAGTGAACATTTATCACTTCCTCCTAGCCTACAGACCATGCAGGCAAGGAGGACTGAGGAGGCACAGAGAGGAAGTAGGGAGCACTGCAGGAAGAGAGCGTCAGACTCCGGGCCGGCGCTTCCTATAGGTGACTTGGGCCTGATCTTCAGGCGGCACAGCCAGGGCCGGTGCATCCATTAGGGCATACCAGCTTTGGGGGCAAAAGATTTGGAGGGAAGTGCACACTGAGAGAGCACTACCTGTAAGTCTGGCTTGGTACAGGAAACAGAAGCTACTCTACTGCGGTCAGCTCCGTCCGGTCACGCTACATAGAGAGGTAGGAGGCAAACAAGGGAAGGGGAGAGACCACCTGATCGGGGGGGTGGGGAGACCCCCAGATGGAGGGGGGGAGACCCCAAGATGGGAGTGGGAGAGACCACCAGGGGAGAGGGAGGAAAGAGACCACCAGGGGAGAGGGAGGAGAGAGACCACCAGGACATGGTTTTTTTGGGGGGGGGACTCTAAGGGAAAGGGGGAAGGGGAGATTACTGAGAGATGGGGGGGCACAGAAGAGGAGAGACCACTAAGGGACCGATGGGAAAGAGGAGAGACCACTAAGGGACAGGGGGAGGGAGAGCACTAAGGGACAGCGGGACAGGGGAGTTCACTAAGGAGCAGTGAGGAGCACTAAGTAACAGGGGGCAGGGGAGAGCACTAAGGAACAGGGGAGCAGGGGAGATCACTAAGCGACAAGGAGCAGGGCAGAGCACTAAGGGACAGGGGGACAGTGGAGAGCACTGCACTAAGGAGCAGTGGGGAGCACTAAGGTACCTGGGGGCAATGGAAAGCACTGAGGAGCAGGGGAGATCACTAAGGAACAGGAGGGCAGTGGAGAACACTAAGGACCAGGGGGTCAGGGACAAGGGGGCAGGGGAAATCACTAAGAGACAAGGGGGGAGGGGAGGTCTCTAAGGGACAAGAGGGAATGGGAGAGCACTAAGGGACAGGAGGGGATGAGAGAACATTAAGGAACAGGAGGGGAGGGAGAGTTCATTGAGAGATGGGGGAGTGTAAGACACACATAGAGGCTGAAGAAGGGGTGAAAGAGAAGCATAGAGAGACTGTTAGGGAGAAAGAGACACACAGAGGGGCTCAGGAGGGAGACACACAGAGTCGCTTGTAAGGGAGACACAAGGGGACCTGGGATGGGGGGGGAAGACACACAGAGGGGACTGGGTGTAAAAAGAGCTGGGAAGAGAAAAAGACACAAAGGGGCTGGTGGGAGTAAGACACGCCAAGGGTTTGGGACAATGTAGGAGACATACAAAGAGAGGAGGGGGATAAGAAACACACTAGTCTAGATACGATACAAAACTTAAATAAATAAAATATACAAAAAAACTATATTAACAAAATAAATATAATAATAAAAATTAAGAGCTGCTTCCCTCTCAGCCCCTATCCTACCCGACAAACCCTCTCTTTCACACTACACACATACACAATGCATCCTTACACATACACAGAAACATACAATGCATCCCTACTCACACACCGAAACATACAGTGAATCCTAAACACACACAGAACACACACCATGCTTCCCTTACACACTCAGAAACAAACAATGCATCCATTACACACAACGCATCCCCCCCCCACACACACACACAATGCATCCCGTACATATACACTTTGCATCCTTTACATACAAAAACACACAATGCATCCCTAACACTAGTGATGTACCGAACGGTTCGCTGGCGAACGGTTCCTGGCGAACATAGCATGTTCGCGTTCACCACGGCGGGCGAACATATGCGCGGTTCGACCCGCCCCTTATTCATCATCATTGAGTAAACTTTGACCCTGTACCTCACAGTCAGCAGACACATTCCAGCCAATTAGCAGCACAGCCTCCCTAGCAGACCCTCCCACCTACTGGACAGCATCCATTTTAGATTCATTCTCAAGCTGCATGCTTAGTAAGAGGAGGGAAAGTGTAGCTGCTGTTCATAAGATAGGAAAAAGCATAGCTAGGTTAGGGATAAGGGTATGCTTTTAATCGTAATGTAAATGCACTTAGTTGTCTGCCACTGCTGCCAGCTTCTGTGTCAGGCTCACAGTGCCCATTTCCCCAGTCAGTGCCACCAATTACATCTGGTGTCACAATAGCTTGGATTTAAAAACAAAAAACTTTTTTCACTGTTATAGATTGAATAGCAGTCAGTTGTCTGCCACTGCTGCCAGCTTCTGTGTCAGGCTCACAGTGCATACCGTGCCCATTTCCCCAGTCAGTGCCACCAATTACATCTGGTGTCACAATAGCTTGGATTTAAAAA